TGTGAAACTTTAAAGGACTGTTTCATCCCCTACGGGTATGTGCACCAACTTTATGCCTGATTCCTTTCAGACCCCTGCCTTGTCACAAAAAGCTGCGGCGCCGGACGCCTGGCCAGGTAGGCATGGACCGCTTTCTACAAAACACATGGCATGCGTGGTGAACTGAGGAGAATTGAGCATGAGCGGCAGGTTTTCAAACCACAGGCGAAGGAGCAAACATGCTTCATCAAAAGACTCTCACTCACTAGTCAACATCTGGCCGGAAGCCAGCATTGATCGCAGCGGAATAGGATTTGTACGTCTTGCTGCCATGATCAAAAAGGCGCCAAGGTTGGCCCTCCAAGGTGGTGCCGGTGCCACGAATGAATTCCCGCACCTGCGGAGTTTGCACACATCTAGCGTTTCTATTATAATAGCTCAAAACAAACAACATGTTTCATTCATAGCTTGCTCGTCTGGTTCTGAGCCCGCCTTCCAATCACCATTGGTGCCAACCCGACGGGGTAGGCCATCTGGCCCAGGTTCCACATCCTCCCAAACCCAGTCATTGGTGTCAAACTGAAGCCTTTTCGCCTTGCTGGCGGCAGGCTTTTTCATTGGAGCTGTCAGTCCACTATCCTGTGCTGGGTCCTCTGGACCAGACTTTGCTGCTGGGCTCACTGAAGGGTCAGCAGCCGGCTTCCGCAAAGCTGACGGCCGTTTCTGGGCGTCCGAGGGAGCTTCAGAATCTGAATGACAAGCAGGCCTTTTCCGAGGTAAATTCTTTGACATAGTAATAGACATAGCAGGCTTTTTGGATACTGGAAGCTCAGCCTGTTCCTCATGCTCGGACTCAGTCGCCTGAAACGTGTCCTGGGGTTCCATCGCAACACGCTTTGCGTTTTCCTGGGAAACTTCAGTGCTGAGCGGCGCTGGCTCAGGCGAATCGACAGTCACAGCTTTCTCCGCACTTGGCAAAGGCTCACTCTGACTGTTCCCTGCACAAGGAACTCCAGCTGCTGCATCAACTGACTCAGGCTCAGGACTCTCATCGCCCAAAGTACGAGTTGGGGCTCGGAGCAAAGCTGCTTCTGTTTCTGAAACTGCGGTGGCACATTTTTCAGGCGGCCTTTGACTCACTAACTCTGCAGGTTTTGGTTTCGCAGGCGGTGTCTCATCATTGCCATCACTGTCCTGGTTCATGAGCCGAGAAGCTTCTCGGTGCACATCCGATTTGAAAGAATCCATGGCCACCCTGACACTGACAAAGTCTTTCCTCGTACACCGAATAGTGCACACAATGGGCCAGGCTGAACAAACAAGCGGCGAACGCGCGAAGCTGCACACTCCGTGCACTGCACTGCAAGCAACATGCAATGGGAACAAACAAAACATCAGGAAACCCAGTTTCCTCAAAGGTTCGAGGAAACGGTCAGGTCAACTGCACCTATTTCAAACCCTTGCGCTCATATTCGGCTCTTGCCCAGTAAGATTCGCAAGACCTCAGCATCCTTTGCAAGTGGTCGCGGTAATCAGCCAAAACAGTGGCTTGCTGGCTGACATCACTGGGATCACAAAATCAATCAAGGCGAACTGGAGGGGCTACTGGTTCCATTTGTATCAAGCAAACAGCGAAAGCAATGTATTCACTGAACAATGCTGCCAACATAAACCTTCAAGCAAACCAACCCCTGTCTTGGCCTTACCTACATAGCCACTGGCTTGCCTGGCTCAAAGGTGCAAGCGACCTGCGTCATGACGTACGGCTTTTGGCATTTGGTCACGGCGTGGACCCTGTCGTAACCTAGGGTGTCAAGAACAAAGCTTGCAATCAATCCCATCGAAACATCAAAAGGTGCGCAGCACAAACATGAACCACCCAAAGCTTTTTGGATTCAGTTTGAGCAGCGATAGCGAAAGATGCAGAGCAAAGCCTTCGAATCGGCAATGCGCGTTGCCGAATCGTAGAAAGCACTCTTGCAAGTCAAGGGCTTGCTAGTGTCCTGAAATGTGTGGGCTGGAACGTTTGAGCACATCAAAACTTGTGAAGAAAAATGCTATCGTTTGGAAGCAAATGGCTGAATAAAGCTACTCACAATCACAATGTGTCTGAAAACCTGTTGAAGCATTCGCGAGTTTCCGGCATGGTGCGGTACGAATGCATGTTTTTGGGCTGCACTTTGAAAGTGTCTCCAGATGCATCCACTTGGCGCTGGATCTCACAATACGACAGCTCATATTGAGTCACCTTCTTGCTTTTTTCAAGAGTGATCAAGTACTTGTACAGGGACATTACTTCAAAGGCAGAGGACTCTGGGTTCAAGCTGGACATATCCACCTGAATCGCTGTTCGGTCCCCCTGACTCCAGTCAAACATCACGTTCTGCTTCGCATCGCAGGATTCTTCTGCTACCACTGGCTGATACCTTCGACCACTTGAAGACAAACAACGGGCATCAAGCAAGGGCTGAACAAAATCCATCCCATGATTATTGAACTGAAATCAATAAAAACAACGTCATGCATGTTTCTTGAATGCAGTCTGAACACTTGCCGGTGCCAAACCCACCAATCAACGTGAACTTGGGCAAGATCTTCCGCTTGTCCGTGGCCATCAAGTAGATCGCGCCACTTTTGCCCTTGATGATGTCAATGCCGGGAGTCTCTGAGGAGCACTTCAAAGCAAAGGGCCCATCATGCGCCTCAAGCGCTTCCAAACTCTCAAAACGCTTGAGCTCTTCCGGGCCTGAAGGCTCAGCCGCAGTCTCAGCGTTGGGAGTGGCAGAATCTGCATCGACCACGGCGGTTGACGCCACGATGTCCTTCAAGATTCCCTGGTACTTCTCCTCGTGCTCCTTCTTCAAAGAAGCAAACCTGACAATCAGCTAGGATACCTAATACAAAACTTCTAATTGAAAAATAGCACAATTTTGGTCAAAAAGCCTAGGTATCCAGCGGTCTAAACCATAAAACACAACATGCGGCGAAGAACTGCGAAGAGATGTCTCCGCCGGCATTCTCCCACTGCCGGACTTGATCCGGGTGCACCCGGAACTCACTCCCGACCTTCACAAGCACCTGCAACTCCAAGCTGTCTGGGTTTTCCAGATACTGATGGTGATCAACGGAGCTTTTCTCCTCTGGGGCACAAACTTCTGGCGACCAAGAAACTGAATCGCAAAAATGAAAACCAGGTTGGGTCTATCATCAACACCATGATTTTAGTCGAAAAACAACTCCTCATCTGTCAGGGCCACAGCTTGGTCGTTGAAGGACAAGCCAGCAAAGCTGAATCGCTTATCCAGCCACATATCCAAGAGCTCTCTCATCACTCTGCTCTTCGCGTACTTCACGTTCTCCTTGTTGTCCAGTGTGTGGACCGAGAGGTAGTACAACCGTTCAAGGTTGAGGGTGCAAGAGTCCACGGTCAGGGTCTTCTTCATCCGCATGCTGGCAGCCTGCGCTTTCATGTCAATGAGCAGTAACGCTCCACCAACATCCACATACAGAGTTTTCATTGGACAGTGCCGCGACCCGCCCTGGCCCTTCAAAAGATAAAATATGATAACATGTTATTGAATCTTCAAACCCAAGGTACTGCAATGGCAAGATCCTCAACATAGCCAGTGAGATTCACCAAAAGGATCGGACCATAAAGCCAGTGTACTTCATGGCAGAGGTCATCAACATTTCCAGTCGTTTGAACCCTTTCTGTGCACAGACTTGCTCATTTGATGGGCGAAGCCTGTCCGCTATGCGAACATGGTCCTTAGTTCCCAACCCCTACACCCGGCAATTGCATAGATGTTGAACAATTGCAGCCACACCAACAAAAATGAATTTCAAACCATCTTTAAAACGTTTAAAACTCATGACAAAGATTTGATGAAAAGGAGTCCAGTGTCAGGCGAAGATGATTCTGGGATGAGAAGCGAAGCCGTCTTTGGCAAGACAGCAAATGGCACTCCCTCTGCCATCTCGTTCACCCCGCAGACGCGGCCGTAGACAGCAAGCTCGCTGTTCAACCACTTGTTCTCGTCCATCATGCTGCTGCTCGTCACCAAACGCCCCATGCCGAACCGTCTGGAGTTCGACTTGACCTCCGCTTTCTTGGATTCTCTTGTGAAGCATTCGACGAAGCGGGCCTCGCAGGCCTGCGACAAGGAGAACAACTCCTCGAAGATTTGCCTCTCCTCGTCCCACAATCCACGAGGATTGCTATCACGTGCCAAGTCTGGCAGGATCAGCACCGAGGCTGACATCTTGGGGCTTGCCTCGTTCAACGCCGCAATGCCGCGGCACAAAGCCTGAGCATTGTCCTTCGTCCTGGACCAAGGGGTGTTGAAGTCGCACCACCCCAAAATGGCCACTTCATCCAATGTGCATTTCGAATCAGCAGCCTCTGTGTCCCGTCAAAAACAAAGGACATGACAAGAGAACCAAGCCATGGTAAAGACAAAACATCTTTCCCCGACAGCCCGGCACAGAATAGAAAATATGGCTACACAGGCTTGGAAACAACCTGAGTTTTCATCTTTGCAACCTCGGACATGAGAAGATCAATCTTGGACACCGAAGTCACCTTCACGTAGGCTTCCTGACTTGTCGGGCTAAGAGTTCAACCACCACAAAGCGCTATGTCCCTAGGTTTAGGGATTGGTCAAATGTCGGCGCTTCCTCAAACATAGGAAAATGGGAAAAAAGGACTCTACAAAATCCAAAAGTCTGCATAGCCTTGCGTAGCTTTGAGACCTCCGTCTGCTTGCTGAGCCCTCTGACTCACGGCCTTGGAGTGCAACTTCGCCTTCAGCTGAAGAGGCACTAGCTGGATCTTGGATAAAGCTGATTGGTCCTTCTTCAAGGCAGTCTCGAAGAATTTCCACTGCGCCATCGTCACGGCTTGGCGCTGGACCTCAACTTCGTGGTGGATCAAGCACTGCTTTTCCTTACCATCGCTGACGTGGGATGGGAAGAGCTATGTTAAAAAGGTCAATAACCCCATGGTTCCAGCAGTTCAAAAATTAATACAGTAGACTAACTAGAAACATTGACTTCAGGAAAACAACAAAGGGTCTTGATCTTCCTGCTGCGCTTTGGATTTCATGCTTGGAAGCATGGACATCGCGATGCGCGGAGGCCTTGACTCAAGAAAGTGAAGGAAATCACTGTGGGAGCCATTCAAGAAATCCTTCTCCATGGCCACAGCATCGGACGGGGTCATTCGCGTCTTCCTTGCAATGCCAACTCTGATCACAAAACACTTTGAAAACTTGTGCGTTTATCACCCACAAAACCACATCCACATTCGGCGTCTTCAAAAAGTTGTTACACAGGAAAAGGTTCAGGTGTGAGAAGGTTTGGCTGAACAAGACAGACAAATTCCGATGCACCATGAGCTCCTCAGGTGTCATCCTGTAGCGCTTCTTGTTGAGGAGAGGGACCCCAGTAGACGCTCGGGTGAACGATTTCCAAACTTTCTGGAAAAACACGCATTGCGCCGGAGGAGTCATGGGGAGCGCCCAATCCACCTTGGTTATCAATCGCACTTGGACAAAGCAAGCTACAGATGATTCCCCACATGTTTTTATGTCCCGACCTTGAATATCACAAATCCCCAAACTTGGTCTCACAACTTCCATAATTTATAATAGCCCAAGCAAGCTTCAATTATATGGCTTAGTAAAACCTCGATTGCTGTGGTGGCGCGCCCGAAATACTAGAAATAATAAACATCGAGTTGCTTCAACAAACGGCTCTCCAGGCAATGGGGCATCGATCTCGCCTGTAGCCGGGTTGGATTCCAAATGGGCCTTCGACTGCAGGAAGCACATCGCGGTGAACGAGAATGACTCGCCGTAGGGACCAAGCAAGAAAGGCACGTCATGACATGACTTCTGGACCACGTCAAAACTCTCTGCGCTAGTTCGCTCCAACCAGTTCTTCACACCCTGCTTCTTCCGAGAGTCGAGGGCTATGGATCCGGAGCCACTCTCCCCCCGATCATGTGACAGCACAGTGGGATGCCCGTTGTACGCCTGGAGACAGTCATCAAACGAAGTACACGATCCGGGCCCCACAAACGCTTTGAGGATGGCTGCAAACTGGAACGTTGTAATGGGTTGCACCCTCGACGCCACATTCTGGCTGGCAATGCGGCTCACCATGGCCTCCAATCCCGATGACAAAGCATCAGCTGCCTTCACCATGGTGCTGATTTGCAAGAAGGATCCGATCATGGTTTGCATGGTAGGTGTTTTGAGGCTATCCTGAGGATGGTGCCTCCACATGAGCAACAAGCTAATCCATGCTGTTGCAGCTGCCAGCATCTTTTGGCTACCATCACCAAACAAAAGCAACCCTTCCAAAGAGCGGGTTCCATCGCGCTCCGGCAAATCTTCTGGCGGCCACGATGGAAAACGTGCCACCACAATCTCGCCCTGACGCGTTGTGAGATCACACAAAACTACTGTCAGCAACCAACATCATATCACAAACATCAAGCTTGCTTTTCACAAGGCTCTGTTGCCGTTTGTACACTGCCCTAGATGCTTAAACTATCATGCTCAAATCAAACATGCTCTTAGCCCTAGAATCTTTCACAGTTTGTCAATTGACGCGCTACTATAAAATTCCAAACACTGATCAACATTTGACATTTCCAACTTAGATTTGGCAATGGCAGCACATACAAAGCAACACCAGCCCCATTTTGGGTCATCCCTTTTTCTTGCAAGCCACTTTGATGTGGTCAAATTGAAGCGTATACAGCCATACGTCGCATCCACAACCACTGTCATAAAACACATTCTCAAAGGAGTTTTCTCGGAGTGGTTGAAGTACAAGCCTACCAAACAGGCTGTTCCAACACCCCCCAAATGATCCCTCAGAAACAAAGTCCACTATTACAACACCCCTCAAACCAAGAGGGGTCAAGAGGACACGAAAATGACACCCCCGGTAAGAATCCTTGCCGTGGGTATCATTGTTGTGTCCTCTTGACCTCTATTGGAACAAATGCCCCAAAAGCACAAACTCACACACACACACACCTGAAGCATAGCCTGAAGCGCAATGCCACAGAAGTCAAACAAGCATGACTTTCCAAGCTTCCACTTTTGTGGCGAGAAAATTCAAGCACAAGGCACTTTGTGGCGAGGAGGTCAGCGACCTCCTCTCCACAAACCCCAACCACCCCAAGGCGCCCTGCATCATACCAAATGGAATGTGCTTTAAAGCTGCGTGGATATCATGTCCCGTGGGCTCATTTTATCTCCACAAACGTTTCCCAAAACCCAGCCCTTTGAGGAGAGGAGGTCAGTGACCTTCTCTCCTTAGCTCTATTTAAGCTAATGGCCACATTTTTTAAAAAAAATCAATTTCATATATATTAAAAATTTTTTAAAAAAGTTGCCATTAGCTTAAATAGAGCTAAGGAGAGAAGGTCACTGACCTCCTCTCCTCAAAAGAAACCTAGATTGACTGAGTTTGTGGGGGGAAAATCAGCCCACGCCAAGGCCAAACCCAAGCCCAAAACCACCCAAAGATTTGTGGAGAGGAGGTCGCTGACAGTCTTTGCACATCGAATGACAGTCTTTGCACATTTGAGTCAACCAAACAAAAATCTTAAGGGCATGGCTTGAGGTTCGTCTCTCGGACGTAGAGCACGTAGCACCGGCAGCGGCTCTGGTTCAAACCAAAGTTCGCAGAGTTAAGAAGAAAACTGAAGCATGGTTTGAAACCCCTTTTTTCCATTGCCTTGTTTTGAACAAGGAGCGGCTGCTCCCCTTTGAACTGCGCTCTAGTGTGCATCATCCCCTTCACATTTTCGAGAAGTGCAAACTGTAGTTCTGGGGAATTGTCCACGTATTTGATGAAACTGTGGTAACCTCCACCCGTGGTCGAAGACTTGTCCTTGAACGACTGGGGCCTGTTGTTCTGAGAGCTGAGCGAGCGACATGGGTATCCAACGCAAACACCCACAACCTGAGCAGTCGGTGATTGTATCTGAAAAACCACATGTCCAAAAAATGTGATCAGCTCATGACTTCATGTCTAAACACTTCCGTTGGTGTCATCATGAAAAAGCTTCAACTCTTTGATCCTGAAGCAAACATAACATGGTAGTTTTATCACATCCCCTACACAAACATTTTCCATGTTTAGTTTCATTAAACACATTGCGCCAACCACACATGCTGAACAAATTTTCCCAGATCTGTGAACGTAACAACAATGACAAAGAACGACCACTGAGACTCCACATCTACAGCAAGTCCCCTTTTCAATCCTAGACACCGGTGGGATTGCAACCATTCCTCCTGTCTTGTAATCGTGCGCAGACTTTCGCCCCAAGCAGTGCATGTCTGAGAAAATAGGCCCGGCGCCGCTAAATGCCTGGCCTAGATAGTCGGCCTTGTAAGGCTCGCTCTCGCACATGAACTTCAAGTCGAACTGGCAGGGATTGCAAGCCCGAGGTTTCTTCTATTCTGATTCTGTAAGCTATTGATTATTGACACTCAACAAATGGTTTTCAACAAGTCTTACCTTGGGAAGACTTGGATGCTTCTCTGTCAGTTTGCAGTTGACAGCCTCCATCACCATCTCCGCAACACCCCACCCAGAACAAATTGAGCCTATGGGGATGCCAGACATAAACTCAGGTTTCTTGGCGCGTGACGTCAGAGTCGCTTGGAAGCTCTCCATGAGCTTGGAATCTGCGTGCTCGGTAAAGGCCCACTCCACCCACGAGGAAACCTCAAAAAGTTGAAATTCACAACCCAAACTTTAATTTTTACAGGGTTTGAACTCGTTTGATTGCTTGAAGATAGCTTCAACTCAAATGGCACACGTCTAACTCAAATGATATCAATTGCAATTCAAACTGACAGAGGCCAGCGCCCCAACACCAGCGCGAGTCAAGAATTGGTTGGGGGAATCCTGAGGACGATTGGCTGCTGACTCTTGGTCCGAAGCTTGAAATGACTCAGGCTCGTCATCTCTACCACAGTCCAAGCCCGATCCAGCAGAGCGCCTGGCAAATCAAAAACTGTGTTCGTTCTAGCTGATGTGTTTACATGCAACCAATTGGCTGTGGCTCATGTTCATCGCCACTCTCATAGAGCATGTCGTCATCCTGACGCGCGGCAACAGCATCATTGCTCCTGGAAACGGACGGATCAAGCAAACGTATCTGAAACTTAACAGAACCTAAATATCATAGGTTCGAGATATGTGGAAACCCTTTTTTCCCTCGAAGCATTGCTTCGAGCTGGCAGTGGTCACAACTAAAAATCATCTCCAACAGCCATATGCTGATTGTCACCCTGGTCAGAGTCTTCCTCCGGAAGCTCATCAGCAGCATGTGGCGGTTTCAAATCGATCTGTCTCTCCCTGCGCGGCCGGGCCCAATCTTCAAGCACCCCAAGATACTCACGATGAACACCATCATGGCGGTACTCTAAGAAAGTGTACCGCCGAGGGCGCGGTGCTTTCTGCAACGTTCCTTCCACCCAATTCAGCAGGTATGCCCCGGCATCTGTGGGCAACATTTTGCTAGTCATCAACTGCGGAACTTTGCTTTGCACATTCTTCCTCACCTTTTCATGTATGGCCCTCCGTGGGGCAACACCTTGCGGCTGCACAAAGCTTCGGCGAAGGGTAGCTGCTCTCTCAGCGGTTACTAATGTCTCGATGTGGTATGGCTCAGCATCAGCCATGTGCTGCTTCGCTATCACAATCACATCATCCTCGTCTTTCACAGTTCCTGGAATCTCCTTCACCTCGCAGTGGCCATAAGAAGATGCATCAATGTCTTTGCGTAAGCTGATCCGGATCTGCCCAACTTTACCTGAGCGAGCTGCAAGCTGTGTGGCTATTTGGAATGAGCTCAACCAAATTGTTGGATGTTGGAAACTATTTACTTGTCAAGCAACAACCAAAAGAAATCCTCTTCCACGGTTGTTCAAGACTCGTCCACCGTTGTTCAAGGAATCCTGCCCACTAAACAAAAATACAAAACAGGTCCCGTCCGATGAATAAGGTACGAAGCCCTTTGAGCCGGATTCCAAGCTTGGACACCCAGTCTTTCCACAAGGCTACCTCGTCCAACTTGTAGGTTTCACATGCAACTTTGGCTACATCCAACTTTCGTGCCTTCCGCATTGCCTCAGCATCACTGCGAGGTCTGCCAGACGTGTCCATGATCTGCATCAACTCCTCTGGGTTGTTGAACTCGTGCCGGGAAATCAGTTGAGCTTGGACACTGAACACTTGGTCAATGTCCTCGTGGCCTGAGAAGCAACCAAAATCCCATGGAATCAGTGCAACATGGTGAGCCACGTTCAGCTTGCAAACAATTCAAGGTCCGAGGGTTTGAAAGCAAAATGTGGATTCATGTGACAAGGTACTGTGTCCTACCCGTAGGTAGGAGCACACACTCCATCTGAGGACCTTCAAACTTACGAGGAGGACATGAAACGCCAAGTAGTGGCGGTTCTTGCCCTCCCTATAGGTGTTATCTTGTTGCACCATCAAGCCGTAGGGCAGCATGTTGTATTCTTGGGAAACGCTCTCCAATCCTCTTGCAAGTTGCTCAATCTGGGCTCCAGAATCTTTTCGCTGGTCTTCATCTGCTATTGCGAACAGAATCCGTTTGCCATGCAGCCAAGTCGCCGAGACGTGGAGTCTCGGGCGAAACAGAGTGCTGTACTGTTTAGACAGCTGCTGCCGCAATCTCGGAACTTTGAATTTTGCCTGATCCATCCCGTCTTGGATCAGGCAAAGCGCCGATGTTCCAACAGATTGCTGGGCAATCCTCGGCACACACACACACAAACAGCTGTTTACATGAGCATGTGTTTCCAATACGTTTCAGCGCCCTACGCAGGAATTGTCAAAAACATTGAACATGCATATTAATCATTTGGCCAAAGCTCCTTTCGCCTATTGCCATTTTGCGAAACCAGGTTTGACTCAGGGAACGGTAAGACCAATAGGCTTGTCGGTCAAGCCATTGTGACAGAAGGTGTCGACTGTATGATTGAGAGGCTGCGTCGTTCAAGGCCGCTCCCTGGCGATTTGGTCTGAGGAGCTTTTTCAGTCTGACACATGTGTCACACTTGGCGTGCTCGGAATCCTTTCTGAAGTGCAGATGTCCGTCGCGGACATGGGGTCCCATGACTCTGTTCACCACCCGCAAAAAGGTGTTGAATGAGGCTGGAACTTCAGAAGTAGTTGAGCAATGCGCCACATACTCAAAGTAGAGCTCGGTGCGGGAACTGTTCCTCATCTTGACTGAGGACCACCAAGCTAGAGAATGATCTTGAGGCAATGACAAACGGAGCCCATAGCTTCATACCAGCAGGGTCCAATAAGAATAACTAGAAAAGAAACCAAATTTAGTGCATTGCCTACATACTCAACAAAAAGCATGCAGCTGCAACAATCAAACCAGGCTACGGAAGCTCTCTGCGTTCTCCCTTGAATGTGCCAGGGCCAATTAAGTGAACGTCAACATCTGACCGGTACCGGTGCAAACTGGTCATGAAGCCGTTGATGCGCCGGTCAACTTCGTCATCATCACAAGCGACCCCTTCTCCAAAGGGCGTCTCAGACTCTGCAAGATTCTTCACACTGGGTTTGCGGAGGGAGTGACTAGAATCTGGCATGTGTTCAGCTGAGCTGTGGTAGATGAGCCACAGAAACATGAGCACAGACGGCCACTTCTCAGAAGCACTCCCACGAAGGCTGAAACCAAATGTGGGGTGCTTGGGCGCAGGCGCCCGTTGACCCTTGTATCCACATTGGCCCGAACGCAATCGCTGCAAAACTTTCTGGCCAATGCCAATAAGCCTGCAACCAGCCTTCAAACAAACAGGCCTTCCCAGAAACATCAGATCTTCTGCACGGCGTGTTGCATAATCTCGCTTTGCAGACTGCGGCACCTGCTCTCCATCAGACGCATGAAAGAAATCATCGCCCGACTCAGACAAAACATCTGGGTCTGAAGCTTCAAGGTCGGAATCTGTTGCCTCAAAGTCTGGCTCGAGAGCTATTGCATCCGTCACACTGAATGACTTCCGCCGGGTATTGTTTGGACTCAGCAAAGTTGATCGCAAGAATTCATCCTGAAAGTTTGAGCGCAGCGACATGCAACTATAGGCTATAGGCTTTAAACAGCAAACTTGACAACTGGAGGGAACGAACCAACGACATCCAATCCTACTCAGCCCTTTGCAACACATGTAACATTAACGTGGCTTTCACAGCCCCTGCCTTTTCATGAGGCTGCAAAGCTTCAAACTCTTTTCGCTTGGTTTCCACAGCTTCCTGGTGGCCACGAAACTGCTGGAAACACACTCGCCGCTGGCAAGTGCAAGGCGACTCTAGAAAGCTCAGCCCCAGCCGTTTGGGCCTTTGCGGACCATCAGCCACAGGCTGTTCATCATCTGAAGCGAATAACATCAAACATGAACCAAAAATACAAGTTGAAGGAGGAGCTGTAGTTCATCCTAGTCATGATTCCCTGGCGGTATGATGGCAGTGCGAGGCGCGCTATGTATTGAGACTTGTCTTTTTCGGTCATATAATCTGGCACCATGCTACGTCGTGCGATTTGCGACCATCGGCCACACAAAAGCTGCGGTGATCAAAATTTCTGAGCAAATCTGCTAAGCTAATCATGTCTCCATCAAAGAAAGTGGAAAAGAACTTGGCGTTCAACAACCTCAGACCCTGAAGTGAATGTGGACGCTGCACCCATCAAAAAAAGAAGCACGCGACAAAAAACTACAGGTCTCCTCTGCGTAGCAGGCCGCTTGCTCGTTCGCACCGATGGGCGCTTGGCCGCTGAAGGCCGCTTCATGGGCCCAGTGAAGCTAAAAGTTTGCAACTTCAAGTCAAACATCCAATTGAAGTCAAAAAGAATTGAATGAGCAAACTCCAACTTCTACTATTATATAGCTCAAAGAATCACTTAACATCAAGCACGTCAGCCTCACGCGAACTCGGATGGTTTCCTGAAAAAGACAGGACGGCCACTGCTGCAAGTTCACTGGTCACTGAACACAAAAACAAGTTGGTTAAGATTTGAGGCTGGCACCGATCAAAAGCTTGAAGGATCTGACTGACCAACACCACCTACACAAAGAAACACCACGGTATGTCCTCCCCTTGCACAGACCTAGGGTTTGGTCTGCCTGAGAACGTGTCCAAACTCTTCCAGAAGGCCCACTCCGCTCCTTCCAGCTTCACGCACCATAGGAATTAACAAACAAAGACCTGTGCGTTCTATTCAATAATCCACTTGACTGAAAAAATCTAAGATAGTGACCTGGCAAAATCCCGGCTCAATGTCATGAACATCGTCACACCTGGCGTCGACCTCGTGGATTGAATTTTGCCGCCCATCCCCACCACATGCGAAAACAACACGAACACATTGCACGAGAGCAACATCTGGAAAAAAACTTGGCAGCCCACAGTCTTCCACACATGGTCTTGCCACGGCATGGCATGGCACCATGAGAACATCACGTTTCTTGGGCAGTTGAATTCACTGATACTAAGTTTCTTTAAGTTCATCACTCTTAGATTGGAGGCCATCGCTCTCAGGTTGGAGGCCATCGCTGGTAGGTTGGAGGCCATCGCTAGTAGGTTGGAGGCCATCATGGCTATTAGGTTGGAGGCCGTTGCTAGTAGGTGGAAGCCATCGCTAGTAGGTTGGAGGCCATTGCAACTCTATTTAGTCTGTGTAGATATACAAGTCTCTGCAGGACAAAAGCCGCTCGTCTCAGCAGGTGTAGCGTGCTGAGCAGGGAGGCCATAGCTGATAACAGCCAACACCCTGTAGAGTCACCAATTACACACAATCTGAACCTGAGCCTGGCATCACAGTTTCGCCATTACATCGAGCAAAGAATGGCATTGAGTTCACGGACACTATTGATGGGTCGGTGTTGTTTTACATACCATCAACATAAAAAAAGACACCTCATTGCACAAATGGATGAAAAACAACAACTTCTGGATCTCCGGGCCACATGCAAGGGTTGCATCTCTGAAAAACTGCCGTTTGGAAAACAAATGAAAGGAAGCACTGTCAAAAAGAAGCAAAACTTCGGGAAACAATGACAAACGCAGGAAAAACTTGAGACTGTTTCTCCGCAAATGTGTGAAAGTATGCGGTCTCTATGTATGCAACACGTGTGCGTGGTATGCCTGAACATGTATGGTATGACATGGTGTAGTTTGTATGTATGTAGGTATGCATGTATGCATGTCAATGTATGCATGTGTGTAGTATGTAACTACCTGTATGTATGTTTGTAGGAATGTATGTCTATATGTCTATAGGCACAAACACGCACACACGCACGCATTCATGTCTTAGTCTTGCTTAATATGTATTACTATTGCACATGTATTTGGTGGATGTCATAAACTTCCTAAGACAGATTACACATCTAAAATTTTAAATTTCCTTTTGCCTCAGAGAAGACCACTTCAAGTGGTAGCGCAGCAAGGCTTTACAGTTTACAGTCAGTCAGTGCTGAAAACACCACCATTGTAAAGCCATGGGACAAGGAAGCTGTGCTGAAAACACCCCCATGGTGAAACCACCCCCTGCCACGGAAGTAGATTCTACCCAACGCTACCCACGAGCGCAACTGCAAGACATATTCAGAAAAACACAAGATCTCCTCCTGCCTGTTCACACTCCATTTCTTGAAATCCGGAGTGGGCATTGCAGGGAGCCACTTGTCAGCTCTGCTGAAGATGTCCTTCTCATCCGACTTGCTCTCGGCGCGCTCCGCCGCGGGAGTTGGTGTAGATGTTGAGGGTACTTCTGGCGCAGTCCCTGTGGCAACTCTGTGGATCGGCGCGGGTGGTGGTGGAGGAACACTCACGCCAGCCGCTGCTGACAAACCTGGTGATCGTGACATCGGTGGTGAAGACGGAAAACTCGAACGAGGGAACTCCGGTCTCTCACCAAAACCTGTAATGGATACTCCAGACAACCCTTCAGATGAAACACTTTGCGGCGCAGCTCTGATCACTGGAGTTCTAGACGCAACTTCAGTGTCCACCCTGGCATTCAAATAGTCCACTCGTGCCCTCAAGGCAGT